TAGTAGCTGGGGCACCAGGATGAAGAATCCTCCAGCTTTCTGGAACTCCTTGAAACTTGCAGAGATTTTTTATCTTATCTGAAGGACAGAACTTCCCATATCGCTTTCCCACATTCATGCTTGAGTATCGGTTCAGCACTGACTCAGAAGGATGAGTAGCATCTGACAAGCTGTCAACTCCCATAGTGTAATTCCTGCTACATACTGGAGATCAATCAACATGAGTACCAGACTCTTTAATTTTGCCTTGGGAAAAGAGAGAAAAGCTCAAATAAAATCTTTTGCTGTAAAGTATAGTCAGGTGATGGCTTCCATACCACTGTATTTCTAATAACAAAACACATCTTCTAGCTGAAATCAAAGTCTACACAAGATAGAAACACTAGGAATATGTGAATATAGAGTAACTGCACAGAGACCAAACCTCTTGATTTCATGCTTACTCTTGAACATGAATAAAAATTAATACAAAGGTGCTTGTGACAAAACATATATGCACATTCTGTGTGTAACAGCAATGAAATGAAAATAATACTAACAAAAATTAAAAAGTATATCCAGTGCTTAAATGCCTTGTATTAGACATAAACACATCTATAGTGTTCCCTTCTTCCCGAAGGGCCTTACCAAAAGCATTCTTCTGACACTTTTTTCTCCCTTATGTACTACATAAAGAATGCATAGTATTTTGAAGCACTTATAGATTTTATGTGAATAGTTCCCATTTCTACTTGGGTAAGTAACATTGCACTATCTTTCAAGCAACTGTGGCCACATTTCATTTCAAATGAAAGGATGAGCCATAATTTTATAGGAGAGAGTATGCAAAAAATGCTATGTGCAATTAGTAGAAAACCTGCAAATTCAAATGGAAAATGAGGATTCTGTGCAGTGAGTAGCCCTCATCTTGCCTTGGCATGGGGTCAAAGCATCTGTACACCTAGAGATGTAGATTTATGAAGCAGAATGCAGATTTCTGTTTAAAGGCCAATGGGTATAATCTTTGCTGCTGCTCTCTTATTAACTGCTTACGCACTTATTAAAAATATGATCTTGAAACAAAAATTCAGCTAACCTAGTTCTATTCAGAATAAATTAATTAACAACTGCCAAAATGCTTGTTTTTCCTAGGGAACTCCATTCTTTAAAATAAATCTTGGTGTTCTGCCAGTGCGATTTTATAAATATGCAGTATAGCAACAACATATTGTATGTAAAAATAAATAAATAAATAAATAAAATGTTTTCATTTAACTTTCCCTGAAAAGCTGGTAGATGTGATCTAAAGACAAAATTCTAAATTAGATAGATTTAATATGCCCTGCAAAGTTGCAAAGTGAAAAGATCTATATCGAGCAGCCTATTCAACAGCACAGGCCTACTAATAAACCTGGATTCCTAAACTCATTAAGAATTCATTTAGATTAGCACCTGAGCTTTGTGTTTTGTCTTTAAATCATTCCTGACAATATCACTGCTTTCCTTTCTCTCCTCATCTATTCTGTACATTGTTCACAATTCCAAGCAGGTATCTAAAAGTTGTTTGTTATTTTTTTGTGTATATAAGCACACTGATAATGAGGCAGTCATTAATTGCTAAGTTTCTGAGCGTTATTGGAGTATAATATTTACTACCTTTAAAGAAATCAAGCAACTCTTATTTCATGACAAAATTAGAACAAATTAAGAGTCCTGTGTGTCATGTAGCTCTGTAAGTAGAATCTTCGACACTCTTGGGAATGCCATCCTGGGGGGAGGGAAAGAAAAAACCTAAAGACAGTCTTGCTGCTTCACTTCAGTCAAGTTTAGCTCAAAACTTCTCCGAAAGGAATTGACACAGGACACAGGACTTACTGATTACAACTACTACAAGAATTTAAACTAAAAACTCTTATATTCTCCACATGGTGACAGGCCAACTTTGGGCCACTAAGTCCCAATCCGTTAACGATATGGTCACTGATGTCATTTTCAACACTCCATCAACTGCATTTTAAAATGCGGTTTTCCCCAGAATTAATTTTTCTCTTAATACCACAGAATCACAGAATCACAAGGTTGGAAACGACCTGCAAGATCATCTAATCCAATCACCCTCCCATTCCTATCAGTACCACAAGCTACTAAACCATATCTCGTAGCTCCTCATCCAGGCACCTCTTGAACACCACCAGGGACGGCGACTCCACCACCTCCCTGGGCAGCCATTCCAGTGTGTGACCACCCTTTGACAGAAAAAGTTTCTCCTAATATCCAACCTAAACCTCCTCTGGTATAACTTCTTGCCGTTTCCTCGGGTCCTACTATTTGCCTGGGAGAAGAGGCCAGACCCTTTTGCACCACAGCCTCCCTTCAGGAAGTTGTACAGTGCAATGAGGTCTCCCTGAGCCTCCTCTTCTCCAGACTGAACAATCCCAGCTCCCTCAGCCGCTCCTCATAAGACTTGTGCTCCAGACCCCTCACCAGTTTCGTTGCCCTTCTCTAGACACGTTCCAGGGCCTCAATGTCTTTCTTGTAGTGAGGAGCCCAAAACTGAACACAGTACTCGAGGTGCGGCCTCAAGTACCACCATATACATTTAATGGACTCTTTAAACTAGAGTCACAAAGCATTATTACTGAGGAAATAATTATTTCACAATATAGACTTTTCAACTAGTGAATTGATTAAGAGAATATTGATTTTAGCTGGCCTGTGCCCATTTATGTTGCCTAAAAATCTTCCACAGGTTTTTATTTCTAGAAATTCACATCAGAATCCTTTCTTTTCATAATACTTTACACTATGCAGACACCACCAAGGTACAGGTAACAACTCATCAGCAAGGCAGGAGTGTGAATAAAAATAAATTATACAGTAACGGCAGAACTGTTCTCCTAGCCTGAAATCAAGAACAATTTCTTAATACCGTGTCAGGAAATGACTATCGCCCAAATGAGTGAGAAGCTCATCATAGCAGTTGTCCATATTTCAGCAGCAGAGTCAAGGCTTGAAACGTGCTTTACATATGACCAAAATAATTGGACAATTCAATGCAAACTGATGGCTCTCAAATTAAGGATACTTTTATTCATTCTTCCCCTCTCAAATATAAATTTGATTCTTTAGAGGGGATTTTTTTTTCCACAAGCACCTAATTCTAACCTTTTCCATAAGCCTTCATTGAACAATCTTTTCACAGGATAAAAACCTTTGCAGAGAACTACTATACAGTCTACAATTCTTTTGGCCAAAAGGAAGTAAAATTATATACATCAAAAGTATGCCTACGCTACTTTTCAGTATCCAAATGTTTCTATATGTTTCCCATTAAAGAAAATTTTGGCCGTATCTAAATATAGGCATCAGCCCCTTTTTGCAAGTGTTGAGAGATTAACTTATTTTATCACTATATGCAGTTTTGAATGATTATACAAGAAGTCAGTTCACTACGGCAGTAGCTAAAAACAACTATTAAACTTTGCCTGAGGGGTGAATTATGGAAAGAGTGAAACTGAGCAAAGCAATTCATCAGGACAGGAATAAGTGAAAAGAGTTAGTCATTTCATATACAGTTTTACAGTTGAAAATAACTGCTGTAAGGATTAAATCCTGCCTTGTAATCATTGTAATTATTTTAAGTATTAAAATCTTATATTACTTCAGAATGGAGACTTCCAAAACAGTTCCATTTGAGGCTGGCTTTCCTTGAGTTCCAAGAGCTTCTTTTATCAGAATGGGTAAGATACAAGGACTATAATCTTTATTTCATTTATTTACAACTAGAGTATATAGCTGTGGAGTGGTGGGCCTTGTCCAAACATAAGGAGCACAAACTTTCTCCATTGCAAACGGAAATGAATACATTTATTTAGGGACTTAAACTTTAAAAACTTAAAAAAAATCAGTGTATATAGCCACCAGATGGATGTTGGATTCACCCCACAAAATGTTCCCATTCAACTTATCTCCATTTCTCTGTGCAAAAGTTAAGCTCTCTTCTTCTGTCTGCAGCCTGAATACAGCTTGCACTTTCTGCAGCTCTACTGATTAATGTTGGTTAATGCCACAGTGGTGCTGTACGAATCCAGTTTACTTTGTTTGTCAGAGGGAAAGTGGGAATAAAACAGAAATCTAGGACTTCTCTCCCAGTACTGGACCAATTAGTACTTAAATTAGGCCTAACTAAGGAAGGATAATTCTAAGTATTAATGTTATTGAGATGCATGAAAATCCTAATTTTTCACTGAACATCAATGAGTACCACTTCCATAAAGCAGGATTCCTATTTAAAGGTCTAACAACAAAACTACTTACACTAGAAAATATTGACCGTGCTTCTCAAACAATTTCAAAACTAATGGTGGCAAGACATCCTTTATATTATTTTGATAACTGCCATAAAAATTTCTTTATCTGTGCAGACAGAGGTCTAAAGAATGAAGTAACCAATAAAACAGAAAAATGCTTGGTTGCTTTCAGCTGCAGATAGCGTTATCTACCAATTTCAAAAAACAAAAAACAAAAAATAAATCAAAACAAACAAACAAAAAACACAAAACCAACCCAAAAAGCAAACACCAGATTTTCAGAGTACGGAACTGATATTCTTCATCTATTCAGTATTTTTCAGGAAACATACAATACAGTGGCAGCTCTTAATTACTGCCACATTAAGCTACAACTTGGACTGAAGAACAGACACTGAAAGTTTAATTAATTAAGGCTTGGATTGTCAAGAGCCCGATTCAGTACTTTATCTGTCAAACATTCAACTACACAGCAATTAAAATAAAGTCATTCACAACAAGTGAAATCTAGGTTTGGAAAAAGTAAGTCTGTAAAATATTCTCAAATTCTTACTAATTCTTACTGAGACCTTGAATAGGCAACCCCACATAGAGATTACTTGTAGATATCCTTTAAGTGCTTTTACATCCTTTCAAAAATAATGTCATTACTTAAGCTGTATATCCAATTATAAAGCTACTGAAAACACTGCTGTAGAAAATAAATTTCACCTTCTTGAAGCTGGACTGGTTCTGCTGAGTTTTCACCACTCATCAATACAACAAAGCCTGCCGATGCTCGGACTGACGCTTGCCACGTTGAGGAGGCAATGGGTGGCTCTTGGCACGGGAAAAGGGCTCTGTTGTTTATCGGTGATCCCATCGTATAAACACATGGCCTACATGGAAGGAAATGAGATGGGTGGCAGAGTTACAAAAAAAGACTCAATTGTGTTTTCTGTCAAAGATCAAACATACTGTTGTGTCGCTTTTATACTTAACTTTCTCAGCTAGGTTTCAAACTTGTTTGACAAGAACCAAAGTTCCATTTAAGCCATTTAAGACAAGATAAAGAAAAGCAAAAATACAACAATAATTTTTACATAAACCACAAAAGAACTTTCTGCATTAGCTTTTCAGTCTCATACAATAGCTCTAAGCTGAAACCATAAGGCCAAGAAAGGCTTCTATCTTCTAAGGATTACATTGTAGCCTTTACTGACATTTATGACACTTCCTCCGCCTTCCCTCTGCCTTCCTGAAGCCCCATCTGGAGTTCTGTGTGAAGGCTTGGGGCTCTCAGCACAAGAATGATGTGGAACTGTTGCAGTGGGCCAAGAAGAGGATATTTTCTACTTGTTCTTTGCGTTTCAGCAGCACCGGTCACATCAAATAAGTTGAGCATGAAACCAAGGTCTGTTCCATGTATGTAGGGTGTAGTGTTTAATATCAAAATTACTTCTTTGATGATATTTGATATAACATCACAATTTTGATTTAGAAGAGTGATATAATATATACTGGAAACACAGAACAAATTAACTTCCCCCTATTAAAATACAGTTACTGCAATACACAGTTCAAATCACAATATCAGTATGATTCCTATTACCAGCCTGTAACACACTCACCACTATGGTGCTGGACATTCACAGCCATCAGAAAGGAATACATGGAATGAAGATAGTGCAAGCCTACTAGCTGTCTTCAACAACTTCTTCTTGTTTAATTTTTATACGCTATGTTGCCATGTATTTAATCCCCCATACTGACCCAGTTGACTCAGGGAGACATTAACAATCTTTCAGTGAATTCAGGGAGAAACATGTACATCAGCAGTCGATCTACTCAACCCATACAGCTGTTTATCTAAAACAAAGATCACACAATGGCCCCTTTTGTTCTGAGATGTCAGCTTTCTTTGTGACAGCTGCGGCCAGTCATACTCTGTGCTATACTCAGAAGTTCATATCCATAACCAGTGAGTCTTCTCCCATTTTAGGGGTTTACTGGTCCATCATGCTATGCTAGGTGCCACCTCTTTGGGTACCATGTCGCTTTTTGCCTCATATGCTTCAGCTGTCCATTACAGAAATGCAAGATTATTTATAACAAATGAGTAACTAAGTACTTCAGCTACATCTGTGATATACATTTGAATACTGCAGCTCAAAAACAAAAGCATTTACATATGCTTACTTGCATCTGTATTTGCATTTTTACCTAATTATACATTTATGCTTGCTGTATTCACATGTATAGCTTTCATAAAGTCAAAAAACATTCATGAATTCTTTAAAAATGTGTTAATATTTTAATCTAACAGTAAGATAGTACGAAGATAACAAGCTAGATGGGTATAAAATGTTTTTTAAAGAAAAGGCATTTACATTGGTCAAACAAATATCAGAATTTCACTTTTTTTTTTTTTTTTTTTTTTTTTTTTAAGAGCTCATTTCACAGTTTAACTATTTCCATTTTGGGGACCTCTCAAATCAGCACAATTTTAAATCTTTCTTGAACTTTCCCAAAATTGCACAATTGTCCTTTAATACCTTCTAAAAGTATATTTCTTCCATAGCAATCATAGGTGAATCATATACTCCAAGAATTCAACTCATCTCCTTTCCATAATTTATCTTTTCCTACTTATCTATCTTTCCTATTTATCTACTATTTGGGCACCAAACTAAAAAAAAAAAATGATTACATATGAATGTGCTGAACCTCAGTCCAAACAGACTGACCTGTTCATGTGTGCCAAAGTAAACAATGCACAGGTCAGTACACGATTAGGACCCAGCTTTCATTGTCATGCTTTTCCATTGATGCCTTTCATATCAAAGATACTCTTTCATTCCCACACCCTCATTAAACAAAGATTTCCAATTCCATTCCGTTTTCTCACTAATATCAACAAAATCAGTAACTAATTTAGACAGCACTAGAAGTGCTAGCAAGTAGGTCAGAAAAACAGTGGGAAATATCTCCCATTAGAGGCAAATTTGCAAGCTGCATGTCTTGGTATCAGCTGGGATAAGGTTTTTTTTCATAGTGGCAGGTATAGCACTGTATTTTGGATTTAAAGTAACAGAATAGTAGAATCACCAAGGCTGGAAAAGACCTCCAAGACCATCCAGTTCAACTGCTCCCCTACCTCCAATATTTCCCCACTAAAGCACGTCCCTTAGTCCAACTTAACATTTCTTGAACACCTCCAGGGATGGTGACTCTGCCACCCCTCAGCAGCCCATTCCAACTCCTGACCAATCTTTAGGAAATTTTTCCTAATATCCAGCCTTCCTTGGCACAACTTGAGGCCATTCCTTCTTGTCCTATTACTGTTACCTGGGAGAAGAGGCTAACTCCCACTTCACCACAACCTCCTTTCAGGCATTTGTGGAGAGCATTGAGGTTTCCCCTGGGCCTCCTCTTCTCTGGATTGAATAATCTCCGTTCCCTCAGCAGCTCCCTATAAGACTTGTGCTCCAGATTCCTCACCAGCTTTATTGCCCCTCTCTAGACACACTCCAGAGCCTCAGTATCTTTCTAGTAGTGAGGGGCATAAAACTGAATACAGAACTCAAGGTATGGCCTCACCAGAACTGAGTACAGTTGATAACAAACTGATGCTTTAGCTGGTCTTAAGAAGTGCTTACATGGCTTTTACATTCCATCATCCAACTCCTATCTAAGGATTTTTTAGTATCAAAGAACATACAATGAAATGCTGAAATTATCTGTGTTTAGTTCCTGTACTGAAAAGAGAAGAGTTTCCTGATGTGTTTGCATCAGGTTTGCATACTCATACCTGAATGTGCCCAAACCCACTAATCCATAAAGCTTCATGGTAACAGACTTACTGAGAATTATACTATCTTGTGCTTCAGTCAAAATTCAGAATTTCTGTAACTAACGATTATCTTAAGTTAAACTTCCTGCACTTATATTGTGAATAATGTATTGAGGAGTGAGGAGAGAAGGGGAAGTGTAGGAATTAATGAATATTATCCACTAACTAATTAACTACTGGGCTTTATGCCGATCACGGTTTACCAGAGAATAAACTAAATACATAGGTGCCTCTGAGCAAACTCTTAATTTATGTTAGCATAACTGAAATGAAACGTAACCATACATCACTACTTTAGGAATGAAAAGGAAGTATTATTCAGAATTTATTCATCACCTTCCAACTTTGTCCCCAATTTCAAAGTATCACAGACTTAAAGAAATAATAGTTATTAAAATCCACCTTTGAACATTACAGATACAGTTGTGTAAGTCAAGAGTGAATTGTGGATCCACTCACACAAAAATCTTATCTTGAAGATTTCTGTATAACACTATGTACATTCATAAAAGCCAGATAAAAAAAAAGCAGTTCCTTTGCCAACATCAGTGTATTTTACATAAGAGGTGAAGATTTTCAAAGTTGATTATGAGAGATTTATGCGGAAAAGACTGAATCTGTAAACTTGGTACAGTGTTGATAAAAGACTAGCTGTGAAGATATTTTATTAAATGTTCAGCATATTGATTTTTATGTGGTATGAATTGTTGTTTAAGTTAGAAAGGAAAGAGAACATAAAGTACTAAAGTGAAAATAACTTGTCACATATATCTCCCTCCCTCAAAATGCTGATCTCCTGTTTCCTTCGCACACTTACCCCAATACTCAATAATTATTTATTCCCATTTAGTTTGAGGAAGCACAATCATTTAGGCAGACTTGAGGTCTGCAAGCACTGTGGAGTCTCCAGAGCACAGTTTATCTGTTATTCTGCAGAATAGAGTAGGATTCAAACCAAGCACACAAGAGATACAGTGAAAGGGAATGCTCATCATTTTCACAGAGCTCCTCAGCAGTACACAAATGAACATTCTCATACTTGTGTTTAAAATTAACAAGTGCAAAATCTTTCAGATAATCTACATACCTGCCACTCTGGTCGGTAGTCCATGTAACAGATCTTCCCTCAGGTTTGGTTTTGTACCGTATTCTTATAGCATGAGGAAAGTCTGTTGGAGTCTGAACTCCCTGTTTCCTTATCTCCAAGCTCCAGCAACTAGTAGTAAACTCAAGCTCTCCACAGCCAGGTGCCTGGCTGCAGCAAGTGAAATAGTGTAGCTGTTCCTGACAGCGATCCGAAGGTAAAGCCACAAGTTCATGTACAATCTGATTTCTGAGATTTTCCAACTCCTTTGAAACATCAGTTAGTTCAGCAGACATGGTGAATTTCTCAATGCCTGACACAGCAGCAATATCTACCTCCTCAACCTTTAGCACAGATAAATCGCAGCAGTCCAATACCAGCAGAAAATCCTTGTTCCCATGGTTCTCTTTGTCACAGCAATTCTTTGAACTAGAAATCCCAGAAGTTTGCTTCTCGTTGCTATGGTTACCGTTTTTATCAGAAGTATCTTTTTCACCTTTACGACAGACAGCAAAATCACTATATTCTGCTTCAGATGAGAAGACACTTGCATTTGACACAGAAACATGGCAAGGTTCTGATGTCCCAGTTTTACAGGTTTCATTAAGGTGTGACTGGCAGCCTTTATTACCAGTACTACTGGCTTTCCTGTATCTGCTCCCTGTCTCCAAAAATAAAACTATGATTCCTTCTATAACTCGACTTTTAAAATCCACATCCAAGTCCAAAACATAGTGCTTTACAAGCATGTGGCTAGTGTTGGCCATTAATGGCAAGTCATCCTTCGTGGGGTCTAGCTGCGTCTCCATGTTTCAGACTGGTGGTTAAGTTTTACAGAACCTTAGCCATTTGTTATTTATAACGCCTCCATAAGAAGCAAGAATGTTCAAGCTTCTAGTGCAAAAACATTTTGATCAAATTACAATATAGAAATCAGTTGTAGTTCCTTCACTTCTCTCGTTCTGTAAGAAAAAGCAAAAAACAAAACCAAGTCAGATAATTGCTCCACAACTCGAAGCATTTTGAAAAGTACTAAAAAGTCCAGTTGCTTTTATTAAAAGTAGTACAGCCAAATAGCGTCTCCACAGAATGAGATCAATCTAGTTGCTTCAGGATTTGCTATTAAGAAGGCTTTATTTTTCAGAGAATATCCAAAGTCAATGTACCTTTAGACAGTTGTTATAAAATGAAACAAACTTACTAAAAGGCCTGTAGATGACTCTTTTCACCCTCAAAAATACTTAAGATACATATTGCAACATCTAAGTTTATTAGTGTTATTTGTTTTCAGGTTCCTGTACTTTCATCATATGATTTAGTTCAGAAGATCATTTTTCAGCTACGATTCAAAGAAGCATGAGGCTACATCACTTCATATGTTATAAACCTTCAAGTAACAATCTGATTAATACAAGGCAACAGCAGGGACTAATATACTTTCCACATGTCAACCACTCTCATATCAGTATTTTTAGTAAATTACAAGAAAATGAGTCCATTTACCGTGGGTGCATTCTTAGGAGATGGTTCATAAAGATTTTTTAAATTTATAGTTATATACTTAAGTTATATGATTACATCTTAATTGCTGGAAATTCAATCAGGATAATAGCATCTTACAGAAAACAAAAGGTTTTTCACTAGAAAATATGCAAATAATACAAAGCAAGAACATATTAAAATACATCAATATTTTTTTGCAAGCACTTCATCACAGAATTTTAACTGCCAAGCATTCTCTGATTGCTACAACCACTGAGCTGAAATTATATGGTTATCACACTTCAGTCCTTTTTTTGACTGCTTTCTAGATTAGAAGTCAAAGAAAGAAACAAGAAAGTGCTAAAACTTGTAGTTCTCTCGCTGCCAGATGAGTGATGCTCTCATGATACACAGCTAAGTTTTTGAGCACCTTAAGTGAACAGATACTGGCTTGAGTCATTGGTTTATTGTTTCAGAGTCAATATAGATTTCAGTGTCCAACATTGTTCTTTGTAGAGTTCTTAAAGTAAGCACAGAGGAGAACCTAGTCTCCCCTTAGACTTGCTATTTTGTTTGTATGCTATCAGTAAGTGAAAGGCTCAGGCCATGAAACCATTAAACTGCAATCTGAACTAATTTCACACAAAGCACACAAAGCATTGCAAAAGGGACTTCGCTGAATGTTCTATTCTACTCAGAAACAGCTATTACAGGAATGTCTTTGAAGTCAAGCAGAGAAAAATCTTTCTTTCACTTCATATCAATCCACATGCAAAGAATCACTGAAATATCTCAGCAAATTCAGAATACTTGAAGATTATCTGAAAGAGACATTTGATTTTTGGAACTAATGCTGGCAGATACTTCTCTGTTCTTTATGTGAAGGTTTTCCTAAGCTTTTTCTCTGAATTATATTTTTGTTGATCATAACAGTTTTCTATTTCTTTTCAAACTTTACATATTTAGAAGAAAACATTTCACATCTTGCGCTGATGTACCTGTGTACTTTCAGAATTTAACTTTCTATAGGATCAAAAAAAAGACACAAGCCCCTGCAGAGCACCAGTGACTTCACTAAGCTTTGCTCTTTGTACATATTCATTTTTCCAGTTTTAATTAAAAACAAACAACAAGAAAAACAAATAAATAGGGGAAAGTAAAACATCATGTACCCATCATGTACACATGCTGTGTATATTGGGCTTTAATATAATAATAGTGATTTATTTCTACTTAAATAAGTCTGGAAAACAGAAAAAAAAAAAAAAAAAAAAAAAAAAAAGAAAGAAAAAAAAAGGAAAAAAAGTACTTATAAAGAGAAGTTTCAGAAAATCTCAACTTGCTGTATAAATGTTCATAACAAGCACATGGATACTAAAACCATTTCCTGCCATAAAATCTAACTGGGAAAATCAGTAGAGTAGTCAAAGATTGCGAATGCTGTGACATGAGCAATGCATCCAGGTCTGTCTGTGACACCAGAGAACTTGATGTTATGAAATAAATAAATAAATACTTACTTTCAAAAAAAGCTAAAACTGTCTTTGGCTATATCTGCCCAATATCAATTCCACTAACTTAAACACACCTACTTCTACGATATTAGTAAGTATCCAAAAGTAGCAAAGGACTATACACCTAATACTCACGAAGAGCAAGAACATTCAACTACACGTAGGCAGCTATATTAAAACATACCTGCGCATGTGAAATATGATTTAACAAGTTACATTTTATTCACGTTAAAATGTATTTTCAACAGACAGCTACATTCTACTTCTATCACATTTGGCTTTTCCTACCCGTGTCACCCAAACTCTTAATATAACATTAGATCATAATTCTAGTGTGAGATGTGAGAGTAAACCTATGGAAGAACATTCATATTTAGCAGTCATATCAATAACTAATTCTTAAAAGTGCTGAGCAACAGTCACTGAATCCACACAAAATTTTATCCTATGATTATATGCATATTTCCTCCTAATACTGTTCTCAAAAGGTAACTTCACATAGGAGTTATCTTGGAAGCGGAAATGCTGAGAGCTGCTCCAAAAGTAATACCTCCAATTTCATAACACTGTCCTATGACATCAGAGGCGAATGCTGGCAGTAGAGTTGAACCTTTCCACCGATATTCCATTACATGTCACTGCCATGTGACAGATGGCAGCAGAGGGGCAGTCTGAGAATATCACATCTAACATGGAAGTGCATAGCAAGTCTATGTCACTGAACTCCTTCATGCTGGAAAAATGGCACCTAGTGACATTCTTTGATGCTTCTTTGCAGAATTTTTCTGGAGACCAAACAGTGGATATGAGCACAGTTAGGCAGTGGATGGTATGTTTCAGCAGTGGTGACAGTGGGCTACCTCCACTGGTGCAGATGTTTATGAATGCAGCATACACAGGCTTTCATTCACCACTGGCATAGCTAATAGTGCTGACTGTGCTGAAAAATAGTGTTTTGTAGCTGAGAATTTTCATCTATCAAATAGTGCTATTTTGTTCTTATTATCTGTTATACTCCACGTCAAAATTACTAGGAGGCATTACTTTTGGAGTGACCTATCTATCTTGTCTTGCAGATATAACTACAATCCATAATATACTGAATTACGTAGGTAATATTTTTAATAGAAAAACCATCATTTTTGTGGCCAAAAAGGCCAATGGCATTCTGGGGTGCATTAAAAAGAGCATGGCCAGCAGGTCGAGGGAGGTGATCCTCCCCCTCTACTCTGCCCTGGTAAGGCCTCATCTGGAGTCGTGTCCAGTTCTGGGCTCCCCAGTACAAAAAAGACAGGAATCTCTTGGAAAGAGTCCAGCAGAGGGCCACAAAGATGGTGAAGGGCCTGGAGCATCTCTCCTATGAGGAAAGGCTGAGTGAACTGGGTCTGTTTAGCCTCAAGAAAAGAAGACTAAGAGGGGACCTGATCCAGGTCTATAAATATCTAAGGTGTGGGGGGCAGAGTGGTGAAGCCAGACTGTTTTCAGCAGTGTGTGGAGACAGGACAAGGGGAAACGGCTGGAAACTGCAGCATAGGAAGTTCTGCACAAATGTGCGCAAGAACTTCTTTACGGTGAGGGTGACAGAGCACTGGAACAGGCTGCCCAGGGAGGTCATGGAGTCTCCTTCTCTGGAGACATTCAAGACCCATGTGGACACCTACTTGTGCGACTTGGTGTAGGGAACCTACTTTAGCAGGGGGCTTGGATTTGATGATCTCTGGAGGTCCCTTCCAACCCCTTTGATTCTGTGATTTTTGTATTCAGTAGAGCTATTTCTTTTTGGCTTTGGTTATGTTGCTTTTTTGCTGTTATTGAACTGAGCAACTAAATGAAAAGCAGGTTGAAAAGAGCAAATAAAGAACGGACATTGTTTAAACAAGAGAACAAATAAAGCATTGCTCTTTTGCTTTAGGGTCAAGTTAAGAAGAAATTTGCAGACTAAATGATATGTGCATATCTAAATGATATATGCATATGTGCATACTGTATTGAGACAGTATCACTCTTTCTGAAGCTAATTTATTTTTCACGTAGTTTTATCATGGAATCATAGAATGGCCTGAGTTGAAAAGGACCAGAATGATCATCTAGTTTCAACCCCCCTGCTACTTGCAGAGTTGCCAACCACCAGACCAGGCTGTTGAGAGCCACATCCAGCCTGGCCTTGAATGCCTCCAGGGATGGGGCATCCACAGCCTCCTTGGGCAACCTATTCCAGTGTGTCACCACCCTCTGTGTGAAAAACTTCCTCCTAATATCTAACCTAAACCTCCCCTGTCTTACTTTAAAACCATTCCCCCTTGTCCTATCACAATTCATCCTCATAAACAGTTGTACCACCTCCTGTTTACATGCTCCCTTAAGTACTGGAAGGCCGCAATGAGATTTTCTTGAAATCTTCTCTCCTCCAAGCTAAACAAACCAGTTCTCCCAACCTTTCCTACAGGAGAGGTGCAGATATTCGATGATATGAATCAGAATTACTGATCAACGCTAGTACACAAAAGGCTGAGAAGAAAATGATCCTTAAAGATATTTTGGGGGGAGGATGGGAAGAGGATGAAGTCAGTTGCTACCTCAGTAATAAATCCATGAACAAAAAGTCTGTGAAACAGTTATATTTTTTAATACTATTTTACTTAAATCTGCTATATTAAAAAGAAATTTAATGATAACCAACATTGGATTTGGTTTGTTGGTGTTTTTTGTTGTTGTTGTTTTATAATGCAGCATTTGCAACATAAAAAAACAGGCAATCAGGGAAAAATATTTAAAAGCATGCATATGATAGTCACCTGAGAAAAAAAGACAATCAAAATGTTCAATTTGGGCCATTTTATAGAAGAATTTAACATGATATGAGGCAAGCAGATCCACTGTCTTAAACATTTTTAAGCTAACTTTACTAAATTAAAGTGCATGTATAAATGTTTGTGTTTCAGACAAAATGGATATCTAGTCAGTAC